CAGGAGGTGGTAACTCGTAGTGGAAGGCAGAGGGTTTATCAATGCCACTTACTTTAGTACTGGCCTCTTCAAAACAACCACACAATTCTTCATGTTTGCTAAATTAAAAGTGATGCCTCCATCAGCGACCCAAGAGCTGCCTGGGGTGGTTGTTGCAAAAATGAAGCTTGGAGAGAAGCAATGGGGGAACTAAAAAACCAGTTTTGGAGAAAAATTTGGGTTGGTTGAGATGATGGGGGCAGCTCCCGGACAGCAGGATCCATCAGCTCGAGGGTGATGTGTAGAGGAAAGGCAGAGTGGTTCCAACCACAGAACATGCCCATCGTGGAACAGTGTGGCACTGGCTGATGAGAGTGGACTGAGGGAGGTGTGACTGGGTGGGTGTCCCCCACTCCCTCCTCCTCCTGGATTAACTGCAGGTGAAACCATTCTGAGCCTGTCAGTGAGATGAGTGACACACTCTAAAAACAGCAGCCCGTGGTTTGATTTTCTTCTCCCCTCTGCTTCATTCACCACAAGTGAATTTCCCATCTCTCCACATCTCCAGATGGATTGGCTCTCGTGTCCCCAATGTGTGTGTGTTCTCCAAGGGCTCCCTGTTCAAACATGGATTGAAAAGCTCTGCTCCTAGCTCCCAGCTCTGTGTTTGCATGGCTTTCCATTGACAGTGCCTTGTTTATTGCTACATTGCTCCTCTCTAACACCTAGCAGACTGTTCCAATTAGCTGGAATCTGCTTTGTTTAGTAGAATGGCTGCATACTGGATATTATGGTATGTATTTTTAGATTAATAGGGGGTTTGCGATTTGGGGTTTGTTTCTTTCCCTTGCAGTCACCACATCATTAACCCAAGAAGATGTACTGTTGACAAAACAGACCTCACCCAGCGTGTCTGGAGGAGCTGGTGGTAGCAAGATGTTTTTCACAGGGTTGTCAATAAATTATTCCGGGGCTCCGAAGTGTTGAAGTAATGACATTTCCAGTTGATTTCCTCTGGGAGGTTTAGTGCTTGCAGATGTAATACCCGGTGTACTTCAGAGCTGAGGAGTAAACCAGAGCTTGAGTGTTTTGGTAGGAGTTGCTAATGTGGACTTGCACAAAGAGATTTTGGTCTCTTGTTTATTATTTTTCAGACTTTTTAGTTTGGGAATGGTGCTCAGTGGAGTGCAGGGAAAAAAGAACCCTTGATCCTCTTTGGAGCTCGGGAACAGAATTGTGTTTCTAGTGCTGCTCCAGCCTGGCTTTGGTTTGTGTTGAGTACGTGACATCCCGAAGCACGCATTGGCTGGGAGTTGGTTATAAACCAAGACACAGCTCTGGAGCCACATCTGCCACGTGAGATAGGGGTGGTTTTCCCATGGTAGAGTTCAGCTTGGCTCATCCTCGTCTTGAGGTTGCCCCAGCTTCTGAACTCCATTTCTTTGGAAGGCAGGAGCACATGTAGCAGGATGTAGAGTTTGAACAGCTGATCACAGCAAGGAAGCTGTGGCTGCCCCATCCCTGGCAGTGTTCAAGGCCAGGCTGGACACAGGGGCTTGGAGCAACCTGCTCTAGTGCAAGGTGTCCCTGCCCGGGGCAGGGGGTTGGAGCTGGAGGAGCTTCAAGGTTTCTTCCAACATAAACCACTCTGTGGTTCAATGTGGTTTAAGGAAAAGTGTGGTTCTTCTTTTGTTAATGTAAGTAGTGCTTTGCATTTTCTCTCAGGAGGTCTAATGTGGCTCTTGCTTGTGATGTTTTAACTCCCTGGTAGCCCTGTCTCACACAAGGGATAGAGCAGCCACCGCAGCTTTTAGGACTGGGTGGAAAACTGGAAGACTGGTCCCAATTAGAACCATTTTCCATTTTTACCTCCTAAGGAGGGCATGGAGTGGGGTGTAAAGCTGCAGAGACATCGTCGTTGTGCTGTGCTCACAGCTGTGACAGATCACAAATGCACAGGAAAGGCAATCAGAAGCTTATTTTTGTCCATAAAACCCTATTCTTGGCTTTAACCAGTGTTAAGGATGAGCTGGCTTCATGTAGTTAAACCATTTCTTACTGAGAAGCTGCCAGTGATCTCTGATGGAGACTTGGAGGCAGTTTGCTGTTGTTCCTGACTCTGCCAGTGGCTAACCAGGAACCGCAGCACCGTGAGGTCTGTAGGGCTCATGTTTCCCCTCTCCTGGTGGCTTGGTTTGCTTTGAAAGGAGGTATCATTGCTCCTTTCCTGAGAGTCACCACAGGGTTGTGAACAATTCAAGGGAGTTTTAGTCCATCCTTTTCCTTGCATGCAACCTGCAAATCCGCTGCACTGAGACACGCTGCTCATGGAGGAGGGAGGAGGTTTCAGGCGGGATGTTTGCTCGAATTTACTGGTGTGGACATTGTCCAGTAGGGTTTTGGGTAGCTTTGGCTGCATTCAGCTTTAACTCGTGGCTGGTCTGGCTGGTCTGATACTTCCTAGGCTTTTGCTTTATTTCCTAGGCTGCTTAGGTTTCCAAGGAGAAAGTTTGGAGCCTTTCTCTTCACATGTAGGTAAAGCAGCTGGAAGATGCTGTGCAAGGTGTTGATTTCAGTGTTTCAAGATAGATACAAACTCTCCGTGCAAATGGTCTTTTTTAGACAACGCCTTTTATAGATGCTCTTTGTCAGTAGATTATTTTGATTTCAGTTGGAATATCTGAATTTGGGACACTTCTGAGTAAGAAGTGCTCTCTTTATGATTTGTGATTGGTGCTGGAGAGGGACCTTCATCAGGGACTGTAGCGATAGGATAAGGGGTGGTGGGTTCAAACTGAAACAGGGGAAGTTCAGGTTGGAGATGAGGAGGTTCTTCCCTGTGAGGGTGCTGAGGCGCTGGCACAGGGTGCCCAGAGAAGCTGTGGCTGCCCCATCCCTGGCAGTGTTCAAGGCCAGGTTGGACACAGGGGCTTGGAGCAACCTGCTCTAGTGGAAGGTGTCCCTGCCCGGGGCAGGGGTTGGAGCTGGAGGAGCTTTAAGGTCCCTTCCAACCCAAACCAGTCTGGGATGCTGTGATGGAGAATAACTGATAGATGCTCGTAGTGCTGGAGGGGACAGTCCAATTAGCAATGCTGAGGAATTCCTCCCGAGATCCCTGCCTTCCAGCTGCTGACACCATCCTTCACTGGGCTTTCTCCTTCACTCCTCTGGCTGCAGCTGGAGTGCAATGACTTTGAAGTGACTGGTCAGGTTTGGCACGTTGTCTCCTTGGTGAAGCTGTGAGCATGAGGCTGCAGAGGCAGCGAGCTGGGGAGCAGCTTGGCGTCACTGTGTTCCAACGTGCACTTGAATTCTGTGTGGGGTTTGTCTTGCACCCAAAAAGCCAGAAATTCACACAAAAGCTGACGTTAGAGTGATGTCTTCAATTCCTCGTGTTGGCGCTCTCGTCTGTTTCCATAAACCCCAAGTTTTCTGTGTTCTGTGTCCTCTGTGAGGAAGTTTGTTTGGTTTCCTTGACTGTATCTTTGTGCTTTACCAAGTGTAACACGGAAGGGTTTGCGTGTCAGGGGGCACCTCTGACTGTTCCAGGGCTGCTGGGCAGTGGTGGTTGTAACTACACAGGGTGCTGCTGACTGACTTGGAGCAGAACTGGTCGGACGGCTCGAGCCACGCCGTGGGGACGCCTGTTTGTGAGAGTTTTGCACCATAAAGACTCTGTTTTGTTTTCAGCATTCTTCCATTCTGGGGAGTGTATTTGGTGACTCCTATTATGATCAGCAGATGACAGCTAGGCAGGCTAATGCCCTATCCCACCAGGTGAGCAAATTCATCTCGGATTTTCAGCTATATTTCGGCCACTTTCAGCTTAAAATATAGATCAACTTCTGATTCTTTTATTTGAGATCACGTTTTGGCCATAGAGTTTTAATTCTGTTACTTTTAGTTTGCAATACTCAGGGATTTCTTTCCTTCTCTTGCATTCTTTTCCTCC